TTTTCAGTACAAAGACCTTAAAATGAATGTGGACTATTTGCCTGTCACTATGGAAACTTTGCTACATTGCCCCAGACACAAACGCTTTCCAGGCATCTTCAGAGCTGCCTTCCCCTACGAGCTTTGCCCTAAGTAAGTGTACTGTTTATTCACTCTCCTGCTCAATAATGAAGATCTATTAGATGTTGTGTGAATAATGATGAAAAAAGAATTAAATCTATGTTTAAGAATGAGTTAAGACTCCCCTAATAAGACTACCATAACATTGAGAGTGCACTGGTTAGCTTCTTCCATTCTGCTCTTTCAGTCTTGAAWTCTGTGCCATTTCAAAATTAGAGTTTGAATTTGTCATTAAGTTCTGCTAAGCAATAAAAAGCTCTGAGATATATTAAAAAATATATATAGCATTAAATCACGTGATGAGAATTCCAGAGATCACAGTGTTTTATTGTTCCACCACCAAAAAGTATCTCCATTCATGCCTCTACTACCTCACTTTGGGATGATGAAATACTGTGTGCTCCAACGATGCAAATTAGGAAGTATGAATCAATGCCATGAATTAAAAGCTTCTGCACTGTTTGATCTGCATCTTCTTTAGGGTCAAAAGAGAGAGAAATCTAGTCAGTACTTCGCCTTTTTCTTGAAACACTCTCCAAAGCCAATTTGACCACTAATTACGTCAATGGCAAAACAAAAAAAGGGAAACAATGCCTTTCTTCCAAAAGGCAGCAGAGATTCATTCCTCCTCCTATTTATTCTCTACTTAAGAGTTTTGGATAACATGGATGAAACAAATGTGTTTATACATCTCTCCTTTGAAACTCCCTTCCCAGGGCATTTCCCACCTCCTTCACCAGGCTGCTGATTCTTTCCTTTCCCTGTGTATAAACCAGTGCTCAACACCATGTGTTATACTAGGCTCCTAGTACAACATACCAGAACAGTGAATTTAGAGTTTTGTTATATAGACTCTTGACATTATATGTTCACTGATCAAGTGCTTTAAAACTTCAAGACTTATTCCTCTTGCTGCTTGCTTTTTATCTTCATTCTTATCTAGCACAGAACAGCTCTGAAATTCTTGCCTGTCTGGCCACATATTCCTTTAGGTACATTTAACATCTACCAAACACCTTGAAATAATTGCAATTACAATTGCCATRTCTTCTTTTAGAAATGAAAATTTATCTTAGTCTGTCTTACTTTCTATTTATGCCCTATTTCTGTTGGAGTAATATGATGCAAATGACAGGTAAGGTCATTCAAAGGTAAGGCAAACTCTGGAGCACCTATGTGAGAATCCTTGCTCAAAATCCACATTTTTCTTGCTTCCTTGCTCAATATCCTGAGAGAAAAACAAAACAAAGTTTGCTTTCTCCAATCAATATGCTAAGCAGAAAGATGTAGTAAAACAGGTTGTCTGTATGGTTCCCTTGATTTCTCTATATTAAAAAAAAAAAAGATGATGTTCTCGCATCAAGATTATAGGATAACCAGCAAGCGTACTTCACATTTCAATAACTAATTGCAAACTCGCTTACAAGAATGACAGCGAAATGAATGCTATTTAGGTTTTTCCTGAATCTCAATTAATTGGAGGTAGCCTGTTATTCTAAGTCATGACGAAGTGCTGACTTTTATAGGAAAGATTTTTTTCATTAAACCTTTCAGTACTTGTTGGACTGCAGGTTAAAGTGAATCCATGTTGCCAGATGTAAGTTAAAGCCATCAACAGATAGGATTCACTTTTATCAGAAAAGCATTTTATGATGCTTCAGTATAATTCTCAATTTGTAATGTGTTAAAAGCTGACTGAGATGACAGCGACTATTTCAGTAGAATGGCAGCAGCTCTCTATTATATAAGCTAACTTTAGAAATCTCTAAAACCCAGAGGTCTAAATTATACCCTTGATTGATACTAGGAGAACATTACCAGATAAGAGTCCTCAAATTGGACTCTTGAAAAAGATGGAGAGTCAGGCCCCAAGTTATTTTTGTTCAAAAAGTAACACATTTAAGGAAAAACAAAATCTAGCATCCCTGTTAAAGGACATTCCACAGTACCTGCCCCAAAGCCTGATGCTCACAGCAGTGTTACTGCAGGTTTTAATTGCGATCTGCACTGATCCCCAGAGCCTTCATTTTGACTGCCTATGCTTAATGGTACTTGCTATTTGCAGGCTACTTTGTAATTTTTTTCCAGAACTAATGAAAGCTGAATAACTATGCAGGCTCCCTTCTGGAACCTGCTATTTCCCTCGACTTCACAAGAAATCTAATTGCTGCTAGGCTAAGTAATGCCATAACTGTAAATGGGATACACTGTGAGTTTTTATGAAGTCTACTATACTTTAGGGTGAAAAAGAATTGATGATTCCTAAGTATGATTTAATCCCAGCTTCCTTCCCTACAGAAATTTCAAAATATTGACCTTTTTTGTTGAATTTGTGATCCTGTTTACTTAGAGCACATTTGCTTTTCCCAACACCAAGGGAACTAATATTGGTGTGGTTCTGCAGGAACAGACAGCAGCTGGGGCAGATTAAACAAAAGCTCTCCGTGATACTTATCTCTAACTTGGCACCAGCTCTTCTGTTGCTACATCTGTAGTTCTGTTTCTAGCAGTAGTTGAAAGTAATGGCAGGAAGTGCTTAGAGGATTTACACAAAAGGATTCTGTTACACAACTTGCTTCAGTAACACTAGTTTTCTAACTGTTTTAACTCTTATATTCTGCTGATGAATACTTTACGTGTTAAATGATGAATACTGAAGATTCCTTGCAAACCAAARCTGATCTCCAGAGGAATTTGGAGGGAACTGGATTTATTACAAAATTCTGGAATTTAATTTGCTTTTTTCTTCATATAGGTTCTTTGTGAACTACGTGTTGGCTCTTTATGGGAAAAGCATACAACCATGTTATTACGATCTAATTGAGAAAATACCCTGATGAAAATATTGGAAGTAAATTGTTTTCTCAATATTAAAAAAGGAAGCTATAGAAACATGTATAAAATTTATACTATCACATCACAAAATATACAAAGCTACAAGAATAATTACTGAGTTACGAGTAGGCTATGGATTATTTTAGATTAGACTAGAAATCCACCTTACTTTGATTCTTAATGAAACTAGTGAATGCCGCTCCTGAGGGTCCCATTTCACAGGCCCTGAAAGCAGATGTTCCTTTTCTTCTACAGCAAGTCTGAATAATTTCATTTGATGAGAACTGTTCATATGCTAGGCTATGCATTTTTTTTTTTTTCTCTTCAAATTTTAAGTTCACTTTATTTTGCCCTTCTTTTTCAGATCAGAAATACCAAAATTTCAGCTCCCTTCAAGCAGCCGCCCAGAGCAGAAAGAAGGAACAGCTTCACTGGATGGAAGATACTGTGTATCTGCTGTGCAACAAGATCGAAGATCTCCCACTGGTGGAGCTGGGATTTCAGAGAATGGTATCACACCCAGTAAACAAGTATTTCTTTTCCTCGCTGATTAAGATACTCAGCAGAAAAGCTAGCAGAGATTTTAAACCAACAAAGCCACAAATAAATCTTAATGAATCTTGAAACCATAGGTGTAATAATAAAAGACAATATCCCAGCTACCTACTTTTCCCTCTCCACATAACTGTAGGTTTAATAAAAGACCCAGTGTGTCACTTAGAGGTGGAATTTGAAATATCCCCCTTTTTTCCCCCCTATCCTTTCACACACACATGCACACACACAATCCTACCCTGGAAATATCAAGACTTCATTTCATTACATCAATCTCTTAACTTCATTTTCCATGTTGTTCCAATCTTTGGAACTCTGGAGTTCCCAAGCAGTCACTCTTTGATTTATTTCCCTTCGGTAGTTGTGAAAAGGTCAAACCTGTTTAGCACATATAACAGTAACTACTGCCATAACATGGCTCAACTGAAATTTCTCAAGGGAGTGCATGAAACACTCTCTCAAAATCTTATAAAAATCACAGTGTTTGAGAAAGGTTGACTTTTCTGGAGCAGAGGGCTACAATGGTTCTCAAAAAGATGACCATTTTTGTCATTTAGCTACTGTAATTATGAGACATTTCTGACAGGCATCTTAGAAGCCAAACTCCGCCCTCTTCCTCCCCCCACCTGCAGGTACCAGTTTAAATGTCAAGTAGGCAACACAACTGTAATTTGGAATTATCTATAAGTAACACAGTATCTTCACTGCAGACTGGAGATCTGTACATGTTGACAAAAAAAATAGTTTTATGTTATGTATTGAATGAAGCTGGCAACTAGCTGCTCAGGACATGAAAAAATAATGACATATAAGTTAAACTAACATTTCAGCATTTTCTTCACTTTGTTACACCTAAGATGCCCGCATTCAGAAATAGGCATACTGCCAGTTCAAAGACCCATTTTTCAAGTTCAAACATCTTTTCTAGCAAAATATGAAAAGTATTCCATCAAATGAAAAAGGATTATATAGGCAGAAAAAATAACTGACAGTGAAACTGCAAAGTTAAACAACAAAAAAAAATTCTTTGGGAACACCTGGAATAAACCTAGAAATGCTAAATAAACTTATATATATTTCACAAAATGAATATTAATAGTTTAGATTGGAGTTTGCATCAGTGGCACTGTATAAATTATAAGTTACATGGGTTACAAATTAATGCCTAACTACTTTATGATTCAACTCATATAAGAATTTTATTAAAATRTTTATGTTGAGACATGCAAAATTTCACTATTTTATTTGGGTTCCAGTCCTTCTAATCATAACCTGCAAAGTGATATCAAAGGTAGCTTCTTCTTCATTTCAAATAGAGCAGAAGGCATTCTAATGTGTGAAAAGATGCGTTAATAGTGGCTTAGATACAGCTTAGATACCTCAGCAGGAAGACAGACTGAGGTTTATATCCTTTTCCTTCCTACTTAGAAAAACCTAATCCCAATATCTCCTATGCCAGATGTAGCAATAATTTACTGGATTAAACATACCAGTTTACAGGTCTTCAAGGAATCCACTGTTGTATGTTAACAGCTCTCAACTGCCACAACTGTTGTAAATTCCGATTACCCCTTTGAATTCCTAAGGCAAGAAAACATATGATCATACAAAAAGTTTATTATTAATGTATCACAGCCTGAAGATATAAAATCATTTGTTTTGTTTTGTCAGTGCTCAGTCTCATTAAAGAAAGTGCTCCTAACATCCTAGCTCACACAGTATTGGTACTGTACAGAAGATGAGCTGACTTTCACTCTTTAATTAAAGAGCAATATAGCAGGGAAATAAGCTTTGTTCCTGTTTAGCCAATAAAGTATTGAACCTGATAGCCTGTAAATTAGGCACATTGAATGCTACTGGAATGAAAACTGCATTAACAAACGTATGTCAAGCGTTAACCAAAATTAATAAATAACCATCAAAGCTGAGGCTGCTTTGCACGCGTCGCTGCGCACAGGAGACAGGGCGGGCAGAGGCGGTGTGCGAGTGCCCTCTGAAGGGGATGATGTGAAGGGCCGCGCTGCCCTCGCAGATAGGCTGCAGGGACACGGTTCACAACAACAAACAGAACCCCAGTGCACACCTGCACTGAGGTGCACTTGAAATAAAGGCAGATTTTTGCAGAAGTGATAGAAATCTCTTATGAATCTTTTTCCAGGCGAGGAGCAGATGTTCCGGTCAGTGGAGGGCCAGGCTGCCTCTGATGAAGATGAGGAGAAGTGGACAGGAACCCAACAGTCCCAAGTGGCCGAAGTGAAGAAAATACTGGCCCAGCTCCCTTGCTGCAGCACGGGGTATGTTTCTGACATAAACGATGCCTGAGCCTTTTGAGAATATTCTTTCATGACCTAGACACACCATGGCTACAAAAAGAAACAAAACTACCATAAAAAAGAATCCAAAGACTCCTGTGTGCTCCTTTAGAACACTTATCTGTAAGTTGCAAGTATTCCTGCCAACCTCAGCATGTGTCAGCTAGGACAGTAATTTATGGCCTGTTCAGACAACAATTTTGCAGGAAAAAAAATCCTTCATGAACATAGACCTTGATTACGAAGTTTCATAACTTTTCCTCCGYCTCCCCCTTAGATGTGATGAGAAAATGCAGAAAAAGCTGATGTCTTACTTTGGGAACACCACAACCGAAAACTACCAAACAGCATCCGTGGAGCTAGTGGAGAGAATCACACAACCAACTGAGCAGCTTGAACTCAAAGGGCATGAAGTGAAAGAAAAGGAAACAAATACGGAAGAGGTAATGAGTGCCAGGCATAGTGTGAAGAAGTTACTCGTGTATCTTTAAATAGCTCCACTTACACTTATTGTATTCTGGCTATCCTGCTTTGTGTTGCTGCCTGTCACTACACCGATGTTCTGTAGGCTTGACCATCTCATGCTGTCCTTTAACACCACCATTTCTAGTGTGGCTCCTACCTGAGCCTCCAATTATTTGTAGATGTGCACCACTAGAGTGGTGCTTCAAATAACATCCTTATTTAAATGATTTAAGATATTCACAGATTTTGTGTTCTGGAGTGGTATCTCTGCAGATTATAGAGCTGAAAATGGTCTGTAAAGAACAGGCCATGCCCAATTCAGTGGTTGCTCAATTTTGGATGAAATACTCATGTCCCAGACCACATAGTCTCCCAAGATAACTTTTCTAGAAACTCCTCCTACCGATTGAGCCACAGAGGTTCACTGCTTTGCAATCCTTAAGAGGTAATCATGCAGTTGACTCTGATGCTGAATAAAACAAACAAACAATTCCCAAAAAACGTATTTCTTAGGTCTGTCACTATGTTTCAGCCGATGTATTTCAAAGCCCCAGTACGGTATCTGAGTAGTGTCATCCAACTGCACTATTTAAATATTGCCAACTTCTGTCAGTGATGGGTCTAGAATTTAATGGTGCAAATCTTTCCATGAAGCAAAAACAGTGAACCATATGCATGACTCTCTTAAGCTTCAGTTACTACTTCTCCAGTATTTTACACATCAATTCTAATCACTTCCAGAAATAAGTTACAAAAGAAAAGATTGAGGATTGGTTTTTGTTTGCTTTTCATCTACCGCATCCAGTGTTACCTAGTTTCTGTGCTTGGAAACAGTAAACACTAAATCAGTAATCTTTCCCTTCATAATTTTACAGCCTGTTACAACCGAAAAWGTCACTTCACTTAGCCTCACTCCTAGTCTGCTTCACCTCTCTTAGCAGAGAACTATTATTTACTTATTAGTCTATTTCATTCTTCTATATACTTTTCAGCCTCAACTATTACCCTTTTTGAATGAGAAGTACCAAAACTGAACTTAGTATTCAAATACAAGCCAATCATGCGTAAGAAAGATTTTTATTTTGTCCCTAGTTCCTTTCTGAGCTCCTTTCCAATATTTATCCCTGATTTTTGCTGGTCCCTGAGCTATGTTCAGCATACAGCTACTGTAGATTTCTTTCCAGAGTGTCAGTTATCACTGCATAACTATGACACTTTATTTTCACTATAAGTCTTACTATGCATTACTGATATTGAATTTTATGTGCTATTTTATTACCCAGTTATTCAGTATTACGAAATCATGTTGTAATTCTTCAAAGGCAGCTTTAGTTTTGATTACCCCCTCAAAATGTATATGCAGACTTGCACACTCCCAGATTCACCTTTAAAAAATAAATAAATTCAAAAACACGCTGATAGCTCAGCTCTTCATCCAGATCTTTCTATAGTAGAATCTATCAACTGAATTACCATTATTCATAGACCCTTTCACTCTTTCAAGGAAATCTAATATTCCCCACTATGTTCACTGATGTATTCACCAAGTCCCTTCTATCAATTTGCCTGACAGAATTATCGATATTCTAGAGGTGATTTGTGGTCCCTCAGATCATCTCTACAGTATTTTTTAAAAACCGGTCCTACATCTGCCACCTTCCCTTCCTTGGAGTCTAGATTGATTTAAGAGATAAATCATACAACGCATTTCAGCACTTAATTCTGGAGGACTGTTACTGTTTTCTTCCTGGTTTGAGGAAACCCCTCATGTTCATCTTCGGCAAAAAATATCTCTAATGCAAGAGASTACCCTCTTCTGTAGCAAACACAGTACAATAGTTTTCTTTTACATTAAGTTTTCTTTTAAATATTTATCCTTTATTGTCCTTAAAGTCTTTGTATACACACTACATGGGAGGCCAGATTCTCCTGCAGCATTGATGTTCTCACTTAAAGAGGCTTATGTAGCAGCAGCTGATTTACTCTCAAAAGCCATAGTCGGCAA